GTGCTTCCACAACTGCAAGAGAAAACAGCCATGATGAAAATAAGTCGTTACAATGGTTATCTCAAGAAGACGATGACACAAACGAAGAATTTGTTGAAAAATTTAAAAAACATCAATTATCTGTTGAGACATTCGATCATCGAACATTGTTAAGAACTATATGGAGTTATTTAAAGATATACAGTAGAAAAGAGGCCATAAAAACACTATTTGACGATCTTAAGTTCTATATTAGAGATATGAACGAGACATTGATCTATTTTTGGATTCAAATCATTCATTATGCATGCGAAGCAACAAAAAATCCAACAAATGATTTTACGGGCTTTTTATTAATGAATCCCCAATTGCTGAACGAAACCGAACTACCGTTGGCTTATTATAAAAAGGACACATTATTTAGTGCCCAGGCAAAAACAGCGTTCGTTTTACCAGACCTTAAGCAGTTACCAAGTATTTTACCTGCATCCGCTTCCGCTAATAATAGAGTGGAGAAAACAGTAAACCCGGTACACGAGCAACCAGTTGATGAATTAGAAGATGATGAATTTTTGAGGCAGTTTGAGTCGTGTACGCTGATAAATTGGTCTCATAAAACTCACTTACGTATGGCATGGCTTTATTTGACGCGTGACGGTCGCCGTGTAGGAGTAAAAAAAATATTTGATGGCATTAAGAATTTTATTGACAATAGTCAAATATCACGCAAGACAACATTTCGCTTTACAATGACGTATTTTTGGATTCAAATGATCGATTTAGCCATCGCACAAAGTCCAAAAGACATAAGCTTTGAAGAATTTCTGCGCATAAACCCGCATTTGTTGGACGGGGGCTTATTTCTGGGATATTACAAGAAGGAAACAATGTTGAATAACCCGACTGCCAGACAAGAGATGGTATTGCCTGACATTAAACCGTTACCAAGCTTGGTCATAGCCAAAAGCAAAAACTGAGCTTATCGTTTTAGATGGGAACCTCAGTTCAATATCAACTCGTGCATGAACATGGTTTTTGTTATAAGAAAAAGTTTCTTGGAAAAAAACACTTGGTGGTTAAAAGACACTTATGATACTGCAGCATGCTCGCAGAA